CATATTTTTTGCTTCTTTTAATTTAGCCATTTCTTGCTCTCTGGCTACACTCTTTGTATCCTTTTTCTGTATACATATCATTTAATCTTTCTCTCCTCCTCATTTCTGGCATTTCTTATGTGCCTTTTTTTCTCATCCATAGCCTCTTTCACTTCATTCCACCAAATATCCTTTTTCATATTCCCCAGTAGAATACTCTTCTGTAGTATGTTTTACACAATTCTTTTCATTTTGTTCCAAACAGCATCCACCACCTATCATGAGACCCACTTTCTTTTTTTTAATAGTAATTTTATTAAAAATTACACTTACAATGATAAAAAACCAATACAAACTAAAAAAATATATATAGAAGAATTTCAAAAAAGTGCAGAAAAAAGAAAATAGAAAAGAAATAGAAAAGAAAGGAAAAAAAATAAGAATATAGTAAAGAAAAAGAAAAGAAATACATAAAGAAATTACTTCCCCTTTCATCACAAGTATAAACAATTTTAGTAACTTATCTTCTCTTAAAAAGCAACTAATGATCTCTTCTTCCCATATCCCATCTCTTATCTATAAATAAATCCTTAAAACTTTGACATTTCAATCCTGATAGCAAAAGTCCATTAAGGGTTACCAGAGATAGCAACATATTTATTTTAACCTTGATCAAATAAAACAACTTTATATTCTTTTGTTTTACTTTTAAGAATCTTGATCTTTAGTCCCTTCAAATAATGTCCTAGAACCTGATTTCTTTTCATTTTTTCTTTATCTCATCTCACAAAATTCTTGAAAACTTTAACAGGCCTCTTTTATAAATTCAATATAGGAAAATTATCCAGGTCACTCTCTTAGTTTGTTATTTGCATATCCCTTTTAGTTATTACAATATCAGCTGGTTTCTTTTGTATGTTCAGTGTAGCAACTTTTTCCATATCATTCATTTCCCAGTTTGTACTTTTGATTCTACAAAAAAAAAAAAAAAACCCACCAAAAAAAGGTCTGCCCCACATTCAAAACCTCTTATCACCCTTTCATCCTT